CACCTCCGACATATCATTTGCTCTCTGCTTGGCATAGCGCAGAGACAGCCGCCTTTCCAGAGGTCGCTATAAACTGTGGCTACTAGCTGCCGGGTGGCGACAAGCGAGAAAAGCAGTTGGTTGCGCCGTCAGCGTGTCTATCTTGGTCGTCAGGGCAACGGGATGAGAGGCGCGGGATGCCGTATGATTGCTACGACGGCAGGCTGAAATGGCCGAAGTAGTTGACATGGTTGGCGGGACATTTCTGAGCTGACACAAGAGCAGGAGTGGTGGTTGGTATGGTTGAAATCTCTTTTTTCACCTGGATAACTCAACAGCAGGGCAGTAGGTGTCGATGGCTGTGGAATTTCTTTTCCTAGCCACAAACAGCAGGCGAGAACAGGTGGCCTGCGTTGCTATCTCAATCCTGGCTGATCTTAACAGCAGGGACTAGGTGCCTTGCGTTGGGTTATCTCAATCCTGGAAGGCTGACTTAACAGCAGGAGAACTAGGTGGCCTGGTTGGTATCTCAATCCTGGCTGACTTAACAGCAGGAGAACTAGGTGGCATGGTTATAATCCTTTTCCTGACTGATGACACAAGAGCAGGAGACGGTGGTGCAATGGCTGGAATTTCTCTCCTGACTGACATATTAGCAGGTGGAGTGAATTGTGTATATAGAATGTTCTTCCTGTCTGTCATGGTAGCGGCAGCAGCCGACTGCATAGCTGCCAAGATCTTCTTGGCTGTGTAAGTAGCAGTAGCAGTAAACGGTGCAACTAGCATGGCATTTCTGGCTGCTACAGAAAGAGGGGGAATAGGTGCCATGGGTATCATGTCATTTCTAGCTGTCACAGTAGCTGGAGCAGTAGGTGCCACGGCTGGATTGTACTTACTGGCTGTTACAGTAGCTGGAGCAGTAGGTGCCACGATTGGATTGTCCTTAATGGCTGTTACAGTAGCTGGAGCAATAGGTGCCACGGTTAGATTGTCCTTACTGCTTGTTACAGTAGCAGGAGCAGTAGGTGCCACATTTGGATTGTCCTTACTGCATGTTACAGTAGCTGGAGCAGTAGGTGGCACGGTTGGATTGTCCTTACTGCATTTCACAGTAGCAGGAGCAGTAGGTGCCATGGTTGTCATCCCCTTTGTGACTGTCACAGTAGCAGGAGCAGTAGGTGGCATAGTTGTCATCCCTTTTGTGACTGTCACAACAGCAGGAGCAGTAGGTGGCATAGTTGTCATCCCTTTTGTGACTGTCACAGTAAAAGGAGCAGTAGGTGTCAGGTGACGACGAGGAGCATATATAGGTAGATGCAGTTAGTCAAGCCTGTTTCGCAATCCAACAGGTGACGACGAGGAGCATATATAGGTAGATGGTTAATCAGGATGTGCAGCAGAGGTCTGTCGCCCGCCTTCGTCACTACTAGGTGATCGGCGTGAAAACACCACGTCAAACACACACGACAGCAGTGCTCGCGCGTAACCCACGCACGCGTTCAGATCATATGGTTCAGATGTGAAAGAAGTGCGTTGAAGAGAGCGCAGCAATCGAACAAGTCATCAATTGGTTATAGTTACTTAATTAAATCCGCGCTCGCGCAACTACAATAACTCGCACGCTGCGAGGATTTTCCGCGCATGCGCAATGATGAATGCGCAGCGCCTCCTGCGTTCTTTCGCGGAGGGAGGGATCGCGCAGGGGCGGTTGGACCGATGACCGCACGCTGCTACGAGCTACAACGACGCAGCCTCCTCCGCTCTCATCGCATTGTCGGAGCCACGTGGCGTTCTTGTTTGCTCGAGTGTTCGGCAAATTAACGCACGTACGACCCAAACAAAAGAGAGTTCGCTCTCTAGGGCGGGGAGTGTGCGCGCACCGACACACAACGATTATGCGTAAAAAGAATACGACAGGATTGTCCTCGACTGTCGTCTGCCGGTGGAGAGATGTGCTGCGATCATAGAAGTAATATACTTGTTAGACGCTATATATTTCTATGGCTACCATTCACGAGCGTTTGTCTAACCTTGGCCCGAAAACGCACCGCCGCGACGTTGGCGACGAAAATCCGAATTAAATATCCCGGATGTACGGCGGGCGCGGGAACGCAAGATTACGCCGCGGAAGGAATTTTTCGGGGGTTGTTTGCGTTGGCGCGAGTCCAGGTTTTCCGCGTGGTGGCAGACGAACGATGCGAGAAACGTCCGCCTGTTTGTTGTTCTTGCTTTCGAGCCGCTCTCGATCTCTTCGCTTGTACGCACGTTGTTTCTCTGTCTCGTCGGTGTTCTCTTCTCTCTTCTCTCTCTTTCTCTCTTCTCTTCTCTCTCTCTCCTCTTCTCTCTCTCTGCTCTCTCTTTTTCTCGTTTCTCTCTCTCTCTCTCTCTCTCGCCCTTCTCTCTCTCTCGCTTCTTTCTCTTTCTTTTCTCGTTCTCTCTCTCTTCTCTGCTCTCTCTCTCTCGTCTCTCTCTCTCTCTATCTCGCTTCCGCCCTCTCTTTATGTTGGTCTTCGTTTCCTCCCTCGTCTCTGTGCCTGCTCTTCCCTCCCCTCCTCTCTGTATGCTCTCTCTGTTGCTCTCTCTCCCTTCCCACCTCTCTCTTGTTGCTCTCTTCGCCCCCCTCTCTCTGTTGCTCTCTCGGACCTCCCCCTTTCTGTTGCTCTCTCTCCCTCCCCTCTCTCTGTTGCCCTCTCTCCCTCCCCCTTTCTCTGTTGCTCTCTCTCCCTCCTCCTCTCTCTGTTGCTCTCTTCCTCCCTTGTTGCCCTCTTCCCTCCGTCCTTTCTTGTTGCTACTCTCTACCATCCTCCTCTCTCTGTTGCTCTATCTCACTCCCCCTCTCTCGCTGTTGCACTCTTCCTCTTTTGTGCGCGCCCCCTTATCTCTCTCTCTCTCTCTTTCTCTATTCTCTACTCTCTCTCTTTCTTCTTTCTCTTCCTTCTCTTTCTCATCTCTCTCTCTCCTTCTCTTTCTTCTACCTCTCTCTTTTTCTATATTCTCTTCTCTTCTCTTTTCTCCTATCTCTCTTAGCTCTCACTACACCACCCTCATTTAATCTCTGTCTCAGATTCGCCCGATCCCCACCATGAATCATGAATTGATTCACAAGTCTCCATGGATTGGATTCTGGCCTTCATCGGAGAGCAGTTGCCGATGCACCACGGATTATTATGAAATATCAGGCCACACAACTATAGTCTGTCACATAGAACAGCTGCTCTGCAGCATATCACCGAGTAACAGATCTGGCATTCGGCAGTCTATGGTTTCAAGCAAACAATATATAAATGCATGCGCTCTCTAATATGAACGGAGAATTTCAGCTCGATGATATTGATTATGTTATAATGGCACAGACACACGAGTTGAGCGAGTGAATGAGTGGGTTGATTAGACTAGTGGACAGCGCAAGACGAGTGTGCCTAAGAGGTCGACGCACTGGTTCAAACGCTGATATTACAAATTCACGCGAGAGTAGACGAGCCACGGCAATACACATTTTGTCAACCAGACAGTACTGGCGAGGAGTGCGAGCAGGACATTTTAATAACGACTTCAATGTTCCGCGTATAAAGCACGAGATGAAGATTGTTTTTTCATGATTCTGGTTGCCTTTTTCCTAATTTCAGAGGGAAAATTAGGAAAAGTAAGAGCAAAGACAAAAAACTATGAAAAAGTAGGAAAAGTAAGAATGCTTGATAGCCTGAGATTGTTTTTTCATGATACTCGGTGCCTTTTTTTCTCCGTGAGAACTTAGAAGGATACACAGCAATACTTTGATAGTGGTGATATTGATTATATTGATTGCTGATATTCGTGTCGATATCTTTGTCTGTTGGTTACATGTTAAGTTATAAGAATTGCAAGACACAGAATAATTAAAAAAAGACTCGTGTTGTCGAAATACAAAACTAAAATATATAATTTATTTGCATCCGGAATCTATTCAACATAATTAAGTTTTATAAAATAAGTAATCTCGCGTGCCCTGCGATGCACTGCATCCACGCCGCATCACTAACACAGGTTAATTAGCAACGAATCTCTAGTATCGCGAAAGGAAACCTTCGAAACACCTCGAACAATTACAACTACATAATAGAGCAGTTCAATGGGATCCTCTCCCCCCGAAAAAAAACCCACAAATACCGAAATGTTGCACGGCCACTAAATATTGCGTTTCGGAAAATGCCTCGTACAATTACAACTACATAGCAGCTCGATACGATCCCGTTCCTTTGAAAAAAAAAATACCGAAATGTCGCACAGCCACCGGATATCGCGTTTCCGATCGGCGTTCGACGGCGAGAACGAACAAGCGAACGATCGAGTCACTCGCAGCGATCCGCCGGGTTGGCCTTCATCGTTCTGGCCTCGACAGATGGCGGTTCGACAAGACTTCCTCGTTCCTTCTTGTTGTTGTTGTTCGCGTCTCTGCTCTCTGTTGGCATAGCGCAAGAGACAGCCGCCTTTCCAGAGGTCGCTATAACTGTGGCTACTGCTGCCTTGGCGACAGCGGAAAAGGCAGTTGGTTGCGCCGTCAGCGTGTCTATCTTGGTCGTCAGGGCAACGGGATGAGGGGCGGGAGCCGTAGATTGTACGACGGCAGGTGAAATGGCCGAAGTAGTTGACATGGTTGGCGGGACATTTCTGGCTGACACAAGAGCAGGAGGTGGTGGTGGTATGGTTGAAATCTCTTTCCTGGATAACTCAACAGCAGGAGCAGTAGGTGTCATGGTTGGAATTTCTTTCCTAGCCGACACAACAGCAGGAGAACTAGGTGGCCTGGTTGCTATCTCAATCCTGGCTGACTTAACAGCAGGAGAACTAGGTGGCCTGGTTGGTATCTCAATCCTGGCTGACTTAACAGCAGGAGAACTAGGTGGCCTGGTTGGTATCTCAATCCTGGCTGACTTAACAGCAGGAGAACTAGGTGGCC